CAGAGTCTTCAATACTTCAACATGACCAAGAGCAAGACTATCCAGTCCTAAATATCCACGTCCAATCAGGCAGAGTTATTGTGCAGTCATAGATAGATAATTAATGGTGCAAATGTGCGCATGGCTTTTTCGTATTCAGTCGAACCATTATAATTATAACTTTCCATATACGGGTAATCCTATATATAATTTTCATCGTTTTACAATTATTTAGATCGGGGAATGTCCGTTTTTATTTTTGGCGAATTTAACTATGCAGGCTGTCTTACGATGTGATATGTTGACTGCCATAATCTCCTTTTCCTCTCCAACCCAATAAAAAAATTCCACAACCTCCACCGGCATCGATAACGCGAACGGTGGGTTTGCGAGGTGGAGGCGTTCAGCCTCGCCACATCTCTCAAGTCTGCCAATAAGGACGAGGCTGTATGAATGTCTTACTACGGGGAGCTTGTAAGGCGCTGTCTTCATTCACAAGGAGGTCAGCTTCCCCCATTTCCATGACAATTTGCGGCCCATGATTCTCCTGTACTACTTTCTTCAGCCGCCTGGAAATTGAGGCCTTGACATAGCTCTCATCTACTAGTACTAATATAATCATCTTCTTTTTTGCCTCTGCCATGGTGTTCATGTATATGTTCTCCATGAGTTTCGTAACATTTACAACCAACATATTGCGATGCTTTTAAGCATCAAACGCATCGCTGACTCCCTGATCTTCAATCGTTCGAGATGCATGGCTTTTGTTGGTCTCCACTCTGATGGTATTTGCTCGGCAATGATTTGGTTGCTGGACACTTATATTGACCGTTGCACGGAATTTCCGTTTCCTTTCCTAAAAGGATCGAGCATGTATTTCACATCCATTTCCGCGACTATAAACACGAAAAATTCGCGCAGTGACGGTTACAGATAACAGCACTATCGCGGCCTTTTTTTTTGTTTAAATTTTCTGGGTGCATATATTTCATGTCAGAAATAAAATGAGTATTGCACACTCCTAGCCGAAATATTTCGCTTTCCATTACTTGGATAACATTTTTATCGATTTCCGACGTGCCTGCAAGACTCCAAAGTCCTTTTTGAGTACGGATATTACAGTTTTCGCAACGTTGTATAACCCCTTCTTTTTTTGTAATAACGACGCATTTTGTTAATTGTTTAGTTTCTACTTTTGCTATCGCTTCATTTATCTCCATGGTAGGTTGTTCTACTGTACTATCCTCATTATAGGTATCTTCACAATTTTCATGTTCCTCATCAATATATTCTTCATGTTCATCTTCGAAGCTGGGGAAGAATAAAAACTTCTCACTAGGTTGTTCATAATGCTACCAAGGCAACATCCGTTCCACCCCGGGTATCAAATGATTATACACGGTTAATATCAAATAATTTAAACTGAGATTCATCGCTGAAGATAACCCTGTTCCATTCAACTGTCCAGTTCTTCTTATCCCTACAAAAAATTAGTCTATTTTTTTTTATTTTTAATAGTAGTCAACGGTTTTCTTACCCCAACACGCGCAAAGTAGCCTCTTCATGTAATACGTACGTGTACGTACAAACAGGCTTTTGTTGTATGTTTAGCAGCACGGTGGCTGCAATCAGAGCAAGTTCTTCCACAAACGTCAGGATCAAACTCATTGCAACCACATTTATCAACGCAACACTTGAGACGGAAGAGGTGGCTTAATCAATGACGTATTTATTGGTAACTTTTCATGATGTAACTATCGTTCCGGTTGTATGCAGAATGTGACCAATGACGCATGTTGATTGCGCATAATAGCGACTCAAAAAGTTTGCTATAAAAACGACTGAAATTGACTATTTACGAAAAAACTTCGCGAACTGCTTTTATAAAATCTGTCCAACAGACTTCATTATTTTAAATGCTTGTTCTCACAAGCGAATTTATTCTTGAATTATTGATCGGAATTATCCTTGGATATTCCCTTTATCATAAATCAGCTGCGTATTGTAAATCAGAAATTTAATGAAGTAATTAATTTAATTGTCCTACAAAACGGCATAATAATAAACCAAGTAAACAATTCGGCGAACAAAGTTACTTGCCAGACGTCGAAAACTGTTGAAGAACTTTAAAACTTGTTTGACAAATAGGCCGGGCTGAATCCGAAATTTTCATTTAATCAAATGGCAACCGAAATCTGCGAGTTACGCGAAGCAAAAGACATAGCTACCTCCACGTTGAAAAGTTTCTACAACAAAAAACGAATCCGAGGAAAAGCACACTAAAAGCTATCGAAGACTTGGATGATAAGAATAAAGAAATGATAACACTGACAATATTATTATTAGTAGTAAGAGTAAAGAAATTATTTTACATTTGACTCTTGGCGTTGAAGAGCAAAATGCGAATCAAAGCTCAACGAATGCACTTGAGCAGTCCTTTATCAAGACCATAACAATAAGGAACAATTTTTCGTTGATTATAGATCAGTGGGAAAATTTACGTTAAATTTACTTGCGTTTCTTCAAATTTCCGTTTCTTTCTTGGTTTATTATAAGTTGGTGGTGTAGGTGATGTTCGTTTATTACTATTTTTTGTTCTTCTTGATAAATTTGCTGGAGAGTTGGGGATCATTGATTTTAAAATGTAAGAGGCAATTTTTTTATTTTTGAAATGCTTCTAATGAGCTGTAATTTTTGGATTTTATGGTGGATTTAATGCAAATTAATTTTATATTAATATTAATATTTTTTTATATACGATAATCCTACTGGTTAATTTTACAGCTACATCATAATTAGCCTCTCATTTATGTCACATAATAGAATGTTCATATTAACTTTGTCTGGTTTGTTGCAGCATGCTCCATATCTGATTTCTAACATTTTAGTTTACAAGTTTACATATTTAAAACTATTTGCTGTTTGTTTGTTTTTTTGAGTGCAATAATCCAGTCATATAGCTGTTGCTCTGTGTCAGGATAAAATGCTGTATGACCAGAGCCAGTTTTCTCGTTATATTTATTTATTTCACTTGTCCAACTTTGTTTTATCCAGCGCCTGACCATGCTATTATTTAGTGTGAACTAATCAGCTGCTTTATTTCGTCCATAAAGTTTTGCGTAGGCAGTTACTTGCTTTTTTTGTCGATCAAACATGCAGTTAACTTGTGGCATTGTTTAAAACTTAATGTAAAGGACTCGGAATAATTTCAGTAACCTTTATTGATGATGAATAAGACGGGGACCGTTTAATTACATTTGTTTATATATCATTTAAAGGTTTCGCGTTTCTTTCCATCACTATATTTTCGTATTTATGGTTACAGTTAAAGTTTCGATACAGTAAATTTGCATTATATTCAAAAATTTCTCTGAAACAAGAACAGAACTATTAAATTTTTTTTTCGATATAATGAAGCTTCATAGTAAGTCTCGTTCTTAGATTAGTCAAGTTTTTCCTCAATCAATATTAGTAGATTGTTTCTCGATATAGTAAAAATTGTACCACTTGATGGATTTTGACCAATCATAATACAAACATATGGTAAATAAAAGTGTGAGAATTTGAGAAAATTTTAAGTAACAACATGAAGCTGAAACAGAGACACTACAGAGGAAAAAAAAATGGCAGTTCAGAGAGAAGTTTGTCTGGTGTCCAGAAAGTTGAAATATGTCGTTTAAAAGAGCGAGGTGTTAGCCAAGGTACACTAGCAGCAAACAATTTGATATTTCGTTTCAAAGATTGTGCACACATTAAGTATCGCACGCATGATTAATCCATATGCAACAACTTAGTGAGTGAGCATTGAACCAGATAATAAGTGCGGTCGTTTAGTTTTTTGTTTCCGTTTGCTTATTCGTTTTTTGAATGGCTTTAATCAATTATGAAACTTGACCAAATCAAGAAGTTACTACATAATTGAACGGTATGACACTATATCAGGTATCAAAATCGGATTGTCTGCACTAGTAATAGCTCCGTTAAACGACATGTTTGTACGGTTAGTAAATTGTAAACGGCTAATACTGACACCATCGTCTTGCATACCCGACATACGTTGCATATAAAATCATTACTTTCGTCAAATTTCGGATTAAATAAAAAAAGTTTAATATTAAACGCCACGCAGCTAACACACCAGAAAGTGTTGTCAGAACGACCGGAGATACGTTTATATTGTTAAAATTTAAAGTGTCGGGAGTGTCCTGTCAGCCTGTCGCACAGTCTGCAATTCACCAAAACGTGGCCAGATGCGTCTAGCCTTAGACATCTGTATTCCACAGACGCATCAAATTGAATAGCGATGAATTGAAAAAAATGCGTCGAACTACGAATATGAATGTTATTCAGAAGAAAATAACAAACGTTCCTTTATTAACAGTTGCGTATATAATAATCTCGCACGTTTCTAACCTCCTTGCTGGTAGGCTGATCCAGCCAGAAATACTTTATTGTCCTTTAAGTAAGGTAAACCCATGTTTCTTCCTGCAAGTGCTCCATTTGCTACTGGACTATCTGAGAATATCATCTCGTAGATTTTTTGAAAGCTTTAAACTGCGTCGTTCGTGACTACTTGAGTTGTGCGAATAGCTTTGGTGCAGTCTATTGGATGGAGGTGGTAACATCAAGCGTATAAATTATGTATTATAAACCATGTATTATAATTCTACACTCAAATTTTACGCATAACTGTTGTCATGAAAATACTTACGCAATCGTTAACACAGTGCATAAAGTGGAAGAGTTCCTCAACACCTACAAAATACATGTATATCATTAGCATTCACATACCCTAATTAATAAACCACTTAACACAAGCCAAAATATACGTTACAGGTCTCCTCTGTGTTTCCAGCTTCTACACGCCGAGTACACTCTTCTAGATGCTCTTTCAAGGGCTTACATTGAACAGTCTCACCACATTCTTAAGTATAAGTTGTCCATTGACAGATTATATACAGTATCGCGATTAGATAACAGGCAATGAGTGCACATCGAATGAATATGCAGACTAATTTATAAACGCCTCATATCTTATAGCTATACTCAACTAACCTGCCTCTATTATTGGTCTAGGATCTTGCGGTTCCTCTTCGACTTGCTCTTCCTCAACAGCCTCTTCCGCATGGACGACCGACAAGATTTTTTCGGTTTTGCGACTTTCAGACATCTTTTCCAGTTTCTAATATACAATTACAAGATGAAAAGTTTCTTTTTTATTCATGTGACATGATGGAATGAGCAAATGCGTTTTTGATTGGTCATGTGCATCACTGTATTATTCGATTCAGCTTCTATGGCAAAAGGCATTCCCATCTATAGAGCATTGAACCTTGTTCGATAAAGTAACATTGATTAGCTCACCGCGTCACACTGCACACGCCCTATTAAAGACTATTAAATCTTGCCTTAATCTTAATTTCGTGATGGTTGTCTTAGCCAGACAGATTTTACATGTCTCGCGATTCTAAAGGAAGAAGGAAGGCATTACCCAAACGTGTAACCTTTAACTGACTGCGTATCGTATTGATTGCGGACGACAGAGTAAATAAAATAATTCAGTTAACCAGTAATAAAAGCAAAGCGATTCTATCTTCTCTATCATTATTATTTACTACCAAAATAACCGGTATCACGTGTACTAGTTGAAAAAATAGAATAAATAAATGAAATAAATGATTCAACGTGTTCTAAACATACAATGGCGACTGATTCGATATCCTTTGATGAGGAAGAAACTGACATATACGCTGAGCAGGGTGACTCTCAACCTACTCCACGTAGTCGAGTCTGTGCATTCTTAAAGCAGCATTCCTCTTACGATGTCTTACCTGTCAGCTATAGGATTATAGTGCTTGACACCTCACTACTCGTTAAAAAGGCGTTGACAGCACTAATGCAAAACGGTAAGCGCATATTTGACTCTATCTATTTGGTAAGTTTACCAACGGGATGGGGGGAACTAAATATTTGCTGTCGTCGATGTTTTCTCATACAGCTATTTCATTGCACCGCTGGGTGTGTTCGATGCAATGCTGTGTATGAATTTTATATTGAACAGGAATAGTTTCTGTACCATTATGGGATTCGACAAGGCAGAAGTTTGCTGGTATGCTGACGGTCTCCGATTTCTTAAACTTGATACAATATTATTATGAGCGTTCTTCGCACTCGGCAGCGTTGGAGGAAATAGAGCAGTGTCAGATACAACAATTCAGAGGTACCTATATTAACAGTGTAATCAAAACCGGTACGCTGAATTCAGTTTTCTAAGCAAACGATTGTTTGTATTTACAGATATTGAAAGGAAAATCGGCCTACCTCCACCTCAAATGCTTTCTATACATCCGCTCAAGTCATTGTATGAAGCATGCAAACTGTTGGTAGAGGCACGTGCTCATAGATTACCACTAGTGGACGTCGATTCAGACACTGGGCAAGAAATGATCGTATCTGTACTTACGCAGTATCGAATTCTAAAATTTATAGCCGTAAATGTAAGTTGCTCTTGGCGAATCAGGCGTGAAAAAAACGAATTATATGGTATATATTTAGTGAACAGAATGGTGAAACAAGTCGAAAAAATTTATCAGTGATAAACGACACGCTTAAAACGATATAATTGTTTTACTTGTTGTATAGCGTGACTCATTTATGGTTATGTACTTTTAGTGCACAGAGATCAAACTTCTACGTAAGCCGTTATCAGAAATTAAGATTGGAGTCTACGAAAATCTTGCAACGGCCAGGCTTTCAACTACAGTAATTGACGTAATCAGTATGTTTGTAGAAAAACGAATATCATCTGTGCCTATATTGGACGAACATGGTAATTGATTTTTAATGATTGCATAATTTATCAATTTTCAGACAGGGTTGAGTAATTTATTCTATCCACGGTATTGTTAGGAGTGGTAATAAATGTTTATGAAACGGTGGATGTAATGGTAAGCCATGTATTAATCATTTTTTGCTCAACCTTCTTGGAGTCTTTTTTTTTACGAAAACTCATCTTCTGAACTGCATGACTCGTTTGCAGACATTAATTCGTTCGGGGGCATACTATGGACTTAATCTACCAGTTGGAGAGGCAATGCTAAGGCGAACAGAAGTAAGGGAATATTTGTTGGTTAAATTATTTAAACTCGCGATTTTCGCTGATTTACTGTAACATTCACAATATTTATAGGATTTCCCGGGTGTACATACATGCACTTTGAATGATAATTTACATTCTATATTTGAGCTGATACGAGCAAAACCTGTATATCGCCTTATCGTGGTAGATTCGGAAAAGAAGCTAAAGGGCATAGTTTCATTATCAGATATAATGCGATACTTGGTGACTTAGATGTATTACATATGCATATATTAACTAACACTAAAGTTGTATTTTTATGAAGAGTCAATTAGCATAACCACCCTTATGCACAACCAGAAGACACGTTGCATTATACATGTTAGGATTATGGCAAGATTCGAAATTTAGCATACCAATGCATTTGAAATTGATGGTATTTGAACGGCAGGCGCATGCACAAGGATGAAAGTAAAACTTAAATAATTTTGTGCTTATCATTAAGAACACGATCCAGATTGAACGCGGCTACAGAAAATATAGAGTGTTTAGCATCATATACATCACATTCCGATCTTCTGGTTAACGGAATTCATTCCGACTTACCGCTAATAAATGCAATATGCGTAAATGCCTGTGGAAAGTTTCCTAACAACTCGCCAGATTGTGCGACTTCCTCTGAATACAATCCGAGATGGTTAAGGAATCCTATCATTTGTTCGAATATGAACTCGGCGCGTTCAAGCTTGTCTTTGTCAAATCGGCCAGCACGTGTAAGAGCTTCAATTAGCCAGAATGTGCACATCGAGAACGAACCTTCTATTCCTCCGACGCCTATTTTTTTATACAGCGAAAGTCATGCTAAGATAATACCGCAACACGCAACATACACGTCATTGACGTAAGCTTACCATCTTCAACAGCAAGATGATCATATCTGTACACAAAATTATTTACTGTCAGACCGCCTACGCCACCATAGTGGTAATAAAGGTTAACAACGAACATCTGTTTACTCGATAACTTTGATAACGACAGATGATGTTTATACTAATACTATCTTACCCTTCGCAGGTGAACGTAAGATTCGGTTCATCGTGTCCAAAAACCGAGGGTCTGTCGGGCTCAGAAAGAACACCAACGGCATTATGAGCAACGATGAATCCAATGTATCAGTCGACTCATACGACTGAGAGAACATTCTTTGGTCAGGGTTCCATGCGCGAGTCATGATCTCTTCGTATATTTCATCTCGCGTCTCTAACCATTTGCTCCTGTCTGGACATGGAAACACTCGTTTGTCCGATAGACGAAGCGCTTTCAATTGAAAAAAAAAAAAAAAAAGAGAATTAATAGTTATAGAGAACCGTTTTTACGATAATACTATAAAGTATTTCACAGTATCTGTTTCTCCTCCATCTACACGTTATTACCTCGATCAACAGCTACCCAACACATTATCTTTGAGAATGTGAAATGCTGTTTCTTTCCCCTGACTTCCCAGATACCCATATCAACTTGCCTCCAGTTATGGACGACATAGTTGACCAGCTGCCGAACGATACACCACATATCAAATGAAACAGGGTTGGCATATTTATTGTACAGATAAATTGCATCCAGTAATTCGCCATAAATATCGAGTTGAATATGGCTGAATGCACTATTGCCAATACGCACTGGACAGGAGCCGCGATAGCCCTCGAGGTGATTTAATTCAATCTCTGGCAATATTTTGTCTCCCTCAATGCTGTACATGATGTTCAGCGAACCATCTTCATTCTACACGATTTTGCACATGGATGTGAGCAAGTACGTGGATACCATATATTTGCATTATTGAGAAATTCTCATTAACTCACCAGATCGTGGCATCGCCGGAACATAAATTCCATATAGCTCTCGGCCTCTTCTGTCAGGCCTATCCTCATGAGAGCATAGACCGTAAACGACGAATCCCTCACCCAGGTATATCGGTAATCCCAATTACGAACGCCCCCAATAGCTACAATTTGCAATAAAGAGTTAACGGGGAATGTATCGACGCGTACCGTTAACTGTAATGAATAGTGAGTTTTTTACCTTCAGGAAGACCGAAAGTAGGGGATGCAACTACGGCACCAGTCTACATAATAAGTATGGTAATGCAACATATAACCTTTCAAGCATTCCGTAGCAAATGCACAGCTTTTTCTACCCGAAAACACCCAAGCCTTCTCACCGGCTCATAAGTCATTAGTTTCAAAGCCAATGCACTTCGATGCACGTGTTCTCTCCATCTACCTTTATACGACGACCGAGAAATCCAGTTTTGCCAAAACCTAAGACTTTGCTTGAACAATGTGTTCAACAAAGTCATCGACAATGGAGGGTCGGGATACTCTTTAGATGTTTTCGTGCCAGGCGGCTGTTTGTCAGACCCGTCAACAATTTCTCTCAATACAAATTTAATAGACTGGCCCTCTTGCAAAGTAAACTCTGCAACAACTCCAGGACCCAAGTCCCATTCACGCGTCACTTTCTTCCAAGTAATATTCGGAGGCTCATGTTCTCCGGCATTGACTATATAGCGCAGGTCTAGAGATAATCCGTTTGAGTTGAAGATGACGCGAACATCATCCGACACATCTTTCGAATTCGGATATGATTCGAATCTAGTAGTGTGCTCATCACGAGCATAGTTAAAGGCAGGAAAGAGCTCAACACGTAAGGAAACCTCTCCTCTAATGACTTCTACACTTCTAATTAACCACGGCAGAAGTTGTTTATGAAGAGAACGAGCCTGTTTGTCAATTATGTGCATGTAATCAACAATATCGGTCGCCCCATCAGTAGCTAGAAAGCGGGTGGAGAGAATGTTTGAATTCGGAAGATATTGCTGTTTGGTTCTATCGTAAGCGATTGGCCGGATCGAGAAATGGCCTTAGAATAGGAAAGTTGTGAAAGAATATAACGTAACTACGCAAGTTTCTTGTTCATGTAAACATGCATATAAATTTCGTATAATACTTGCCTCCCTACATTCATTAAAATCATTGTTCAGCAAACACAAGTCATTAGAATAAAGAAGAACATCAGTCATTATAAGTTGTCGGGTCCATTATTGTGTTCAAAATGCTGATCAGTCTATACCTTATTTGCATCTAATAATCGACAAAACACGGATGGACTATCAAACTTTGGGTAACAAAAGAAGTCGATCGAGCCATCAGTGCCACACAAACATACAGTTCGTAAATTCCCAATAAATCCGTAATTTTCAATTGGAAGATATCCTCTACATCAATAACGATAAAATCGATTAGCTCACTCTTTACAAGGTGT